TTTGAAGTGCTTGTACAGTAGGGCTACGATGGCTATCCGAGTACAGAACCAGGGTACGAAACCTATCCAATTGCAGAGAGGCGAAAGACAGGGTGACGTCATATCCCCGAAACTCTTCACCGCTGCATTGGATAGCTTTTTTTTCAAGCTTCTGGACTGGAAAGGATACGGTATCAACATGAATGGCGAGTACATCACTCACCTTCGATTTGCCGACGATATAGTCCTTATGGCAGAATCGCTGGAAGACCTAAGCACCATGCTCAATGACCTCAATAGTCTCTCCCAACGAATAGGTCTTAGGATGAACATGGACAAAACAAAGATCATGTTTAATGTCCATGTCACACCTATGCCGGTAGTTGTTGGGAGCACTAAGCCCGAAGTTGTTGACGAGTATGTTTACCTGGGACAAATAGTCCGATTAGGTAAGTTCAACTTCGACCGAGAGGTCAATCGTCGGATTCAACTCGGCTGGGCAGCGTTCGGGAAACTACGACACATCTTCTCGTCAGACATACCTCAAAACCTTAAAACGAAATTGTACAACTAGTGCGTGTTGCCAGTGATGACTTACGGATCTGAGACGTGGTCCTTCACTGCTGGCCGTATGAGGAAGCTCAAGGTCGCTCAGCGAGCTATGGAGAGGGCTATGCTCGGGGTTTCTCTACGTGATAAACTTAGAAATGAGTATATCCGCAGTAGAACCAGAGTAACCGACATAGCCCAACGGATTAGTAAGCTGGGCCGGCCATATAGCTCGAAGAACCGACAACCGATCGGGAAGAAAAGAGTGAGTGGCAGCCTCGTACCGGTAGACGAAGTATAGGGCGACCCCCCACTAGATGGAGTGACGACCTGGTAAGACATGCAGCAAGTCGATGGATGCAGGTGCCTCAGGACCGTGCTTTGTGGCATTCCTTGTGGGAGACCTATGTTCAGCAGTGAACTTATGAAAGGCTGTAATGATGATGATGAAGAATGAGGGAGAGGTGTCAGAGGTGCTTACCAGAGACACCAAAGGGGAACCGCCATTAAACCGACGGTTCCACCGACAGTACCGTCCAGCGTAGGTGATCCTACCAAGGGGACAACTTCCGCGCTGAACGTTTCCAAAACCAGTTTCAAACCTGAGAAGCTGGACGAGAAAAAGGAGCAAGAGCCCGCGAGTAATTAAACTCCTGCGGAGCCTCGTAGAACGGACGACATTTTATCTGCTGCCTGGCAAGTGGTGAGCCGTAAGGGGAAAGGCAAGGCACCCAAAAAGGTGACTTACCGACCTGACGGACCATCAGGAGGGTCTGTCCCTGCAGGTAGTATAGGAAAGGTCAAAAAGAAGAATAAGAAGCAGCGGGAATTCTTCTTCTAAATCTAAAAACAGTGACGTTGGGCAAGCTACTGCGACTGAGGTGCTTGGGGCTGGAACCAGTAGCCGCGCTGAAGCTGGGAAGGATAAAAATCCAGCCCAAGTGGAAGTCGTGTTGAATCGTACCGCGGGAACCAGCTCTAAGATATCCACCAGGAAACAGCGAGCGGCCAAGCGTCCTGGGAAAAAGGAAAGAGCAGCCAAAAGGATGCTGGAAGAGTCCACCTCGCCGAGAGGAGAGCACAAAAAAGTGCGACTCGAACAGCAACCAAAAGCTGCAAGAACAAGCTACGCTTCCGCTGCTAAAGCAGATTTGGGTGTGGCCTTAACGTGTGCGCGTTCAGGTCAGGTCAAGGAAGTAGCAGACGACATCCTCGTGGCAATACAGAGGAAAATGATCAGCGAGGCCTGGAGTAGCCAAGACCCTGATGCGTCGGGCCCAGTTTTTAGAGGCAAACCCGTTTACATGGAGGGTATCCTGAAACTGGTGCGACGATCAGAAGGCTGTGGATTGGTTGAAGGGGAATATTGCTACCCTCTACCTTAAATCCAACACTTCGCTGACTATAAAGAAACAGCTCCGACTGTTTCTTTATAGTCTTATTCTATAGCCTTAATCCAGGAGCCGTGGGTTAGGGCTGGTAAAATTAAAGACCTAAAAACCTAAAAGGTAAGCTATTCTACAGCTCTGAACACGACAAGCCTAGAGCGTGTATTTACACTACTAAAGATATCTGTGCACAACCATTAACAGATTTCTGTTCTAGAGACATGTATGCTGTGGCAATACAATATACACAGGAGAGAAGATTAGTCGTCGCCTCGGTCTACATGCCGGAGGAAGACACTCCTCCCCCTCATGACCTCGTGAGACTGGTGAACTTCTGAGAGAGGACCGGACTAGAGGTTGTGATCGGGACGGACTCCAACGCACATCATCTCTTCTGGGGAATGGAAAGACCGAATGAACGAGGTAAGGTGTTAGTTGAATATTTATTTAGCACTAACCTATTTTAAACACTGGTTCTGAACCAACTTTCATAAGCAAACACTGTCGCACAATAATCGACCTCACACTTGCAACACAAGGAGCAGCTAAACTAATTACGGGATGCCATGTTTCGAGAGAGGCCTCATGCTCAGATCATAGATAGATCTATTTCGCACTACAGGTCGATATCCCCGCTACACCACCATGGAGAAATCCCCGCAAGACGGATAAAACAAAATACCTTAATAGGTTGACGTCTTTGCTCGTGGGTTTTGAGGGGACAAATACTATAGCAAATAAATCGCTCCTAGAAGAACAGGTAGCAGCTATTACTAAAGCCATGATAGAAAGATCATGTACAGAAATCACTCCACCAAGGCATGCTGAGTTAAAGCAACCGTGGTGGGGTAAAGAACTAGATAGAAAACGTAAGAAGGTAAGAAAAGCCCTAAATAGGGCCATGAATACCTCAATGGATGAAGACTGGCTACTACGAGTATACAAGAAAGCTAAGTCCTAATACAAAAAATGTATCAGGTATCGACGCTCAACAGGGTGGCGTAAATTCTGTGGCAACATAGAAACCTGCGAACAAGCGAATAGGATAAGGAATATTCTAGCTAAACAGAACACGTCGGGATCCATCTCTCTAAAGACACCCGACGGTAGTCACTCAACATCGCCGGATGAAGCCCAACGCATCCTAATTAAAATGCACTTCCCAGGCTGCTGCGTAACTCAGGAGGCAAACCGGCATGACGACATACTGACACTAACAGCAAAAGACTGGAATTTAGCACAAAGAGTGGTAACGATGGACAAAATCCATTGGGCCATTTACAGTTTCCTCCCCTATAAGGCGGCAGGACCTGACGGCATATTCCAGGCACTCCTACAGTGGGGTGGTAAAGCCCTAATAGTCAGACTTGTTGCCATAATGAGATCCTGTCTGGCTCTTAATTATGTTCCTAGGGGATGGAGGGAAGTGAAAGTCACATTCATACCAAAACCAGGTAAAAGCAACTACACAGACCCTAAATCCTACAGGCCCATTAGCCTCACATCCATCCTTTCTTCTAAAGACAATGGAGAGGATGTGTGAAAGGGAATTTAGGGGGTCGGCGCTAATGAACTTACCACTACACGACAAGCAACACGCCTGCAGTCTAGGCAAATCAAAAGAATCGGCACTTCACCAGGTAATAACAAAGATTGAAGAAGCCATCCAAAACAAAGAAATATGTCTAGGTTCCTTCATTGATATAGAAGGTGCTTTTGATAGAACGAACTTCTCCAGCATAAAATGTGCACTCAGTAGACATAAAGTTGAACCGGCACTGATTGAATGGATAGTAAACATGCTCAGTACACGAATAATAAAGATTGCTGGTGAATCTCAACCAATCCAAATTAAGAAAGGCTGCCCGCAGGGTGGGGTTCTCTCACCTCTCCTGTGGAATATGGTCATTAATGAACTCATCAGCAAATTAAATGCCAATCACTTCTACACAGTAGGTTATGCTGATGACCTGACAATACTGGTATCTGGAAAGACAGCAAGCATAGTGTGCGACCTGACCCAAGCGGCTCTCCGTATAGTGGAGAGATGGTGCAGGGAATACGACTTAACCGTTAATCCAAATAAAACGGTTTTAGTAATGTTCACACAAAAACGAATGCTGAATAACTATCATCTCCCAAGTCTTTTCAGCACAAAACTCCAGTTATCCTCTGAGATAAAATATCTAGGTCTTACCTTGGACAGCAAACTTAACTGGAATAAACACATAGAAAACAAAATCAACAAAGCTAGTATAACTTTCTGGCAATGCAGAAACATGATTGGCAAAAGATGGGGACTGACGCCAAAAATCATACTGTGGCTGTACAAAACTGTAATTCGGCCCATGATCACATATGGCGTTCTGGTATGCTGGACCAAGACAAATGAAGCCACCACTATAATGAAGCTTCAGCGCTACCAGAGACTGGCATGTATGGCTGCCACAGGCTGCACAAGGACTACGCCAACAGCAGCCTTAGAAGCGATACTAGAACTAACCCCGCTTCATCTACATATACAACAAGAAGCGACTTTAGCTGCCATCAGACTCAAGACCCTAAATCTTTGGAGTAAGAATAGTGTCCCTCATATAATTGATAGAATTCACTCAAAAATTCCTATCTTACAAGCCAAGTACGATAAGATTCCTAAACAATGTACATACTTATCATACAAAAATATTTTCTAGTAGTATTCTAATAAAGCAATATATCTCTTTTAATAGAAAGATCGTAATCATAAATTTCAATATTAATATTAATATTGAAATTTATGATTAATAAGAATTTTGCACGTGTTAAAGCCACGCTGCAGCTACATATATTAATAGTATAGTTGTAGCACGAATAGGTCGGCTCGACCTTGGAAGGACCACGCTCTCACAGAATACCAGCGTAAAATAGCAGCTTAATACTACTGTGTTGTACTATGATGTAGATGTCTATGGGCCACAGCAACCACTTACCATGAAGTGGACTGTGTGCTCGTTTGTTATCCTATCCTAAAAAAAAAAGCATTTCTATAAGGAGGGTAGTGAGGGTAGGACTAAATTATCAAAATAATAAATAAAAATCTTATCATTAATTTAATTTTTTTAATTTAAATAATCTTCTAAGTTTAACTTGTATGGCTAACATTAATAATGCCACATTCTTTTTGTACCACTCTAAGTTATATGTGATGTGACTCTTCCAGTTTTTGTCGAGAAAGGATTTGTAGAAGACACTCATTTCATCAGCCGTTAGATTCTGCTTGCCTTCTGGTAAATTTTTCTTTAAGTATTCCTCCCGTTCCTGTACATAACAATGCAGAGAGAATTATACAAATTAATAATCGTATCGCACTTTCGAAATTTGTTTCCCGTTGCTGGGTCATGTGGATATTTTACATTTGGAATAAACACAATAGTTATACCTCTATCTATCAGAAACTGTGAGGCCTTTATGGCATTTCCCATACCTGCTTCTTACCAACCCCGTGGAAGGGAATGGGGTATACCAGATTATCTACAGATTATTTGTTAATTGTAAAAGGTCACATTTTAAACCCCACATCATCATTACAGCCCTTCACAAGTTCACTGCTGAATATAGGCCTCCCCCAAGGAATGCCACAAAGCACAGTCCTGAGCCACCTGCATCCATCAACTTACCACATGTGTTACCAGGTCATCACTCCATCTAGTGGGGGTTGCCCTACACTTTGCCTGCCAATTCCAGGCTGCCACTCGAGAATCTTTTTTCCCTATTGGTTGTCGGTTCTTCCCATTGCCACTTCAGCTTACTAATCCGTTGGGCTATGTCAGTCACACTGGTTCTACTGCAGATATCCTCATTTCTAAGTTTATCATATATATATATATTCTCATTTCTTAGTTTAAGTGGTGTTAAATCATACATTACACTTAAGTAAAATATTACTTTAAAATAATCTAATATTTCGAATACTATGATTTTCTGCTACATATAAGACTAGACTAACAATATTATATCTTATATAAATTTGAATATTCAAATTGATTGTTAGTTTTGTCCTTCAGAAGGGATAATATATTATATAACTCATTCTATTGGAGTGATATGTTTTAAATTCTGTATATAACATTCACCAGTTAGTCATTAAATCTTATAACTTAAATAAAAAAAAATTAAAACCCCCAAACAAAAATACTTCAAATGGCTGAACAGATTTTCTTGAATCATAGCTAAGAACACTCTAGATCAAGCCACCTTTCAAACAGAAACAACTAAATACATTTCCCTCCCTCCCAGCTTTAGGTACCTCTAGGAAAAATTAACATTTAAGGGCCACTTCTAATAGGAAGAAAGGTTCTCAAGTGGCAGTCGTGTACCTGTAAATTCAGGGATGTCTCCCAATAGAAGGAGTGACAAGCTGGTAAGAGATAAAAGATATAGGTAGTCAGTAGCTGAGGATCGTGCTTTATGGCATTCCTTGGAGGAAGCCTACATTTAGTAGTGAACTTAAGATGAGCTGTAATGATGATGATGATATGTTATAATATGTAAAGTATGTTTGACATTATAGATATATGCCGTTTAAAAACTGCAATTATTACTAGCATATAAAGTAATATTATTACCGTATAACTATGTAATGTATAATAACATAAATAGTCCAATTAAAGTTCTTATGCTATGACAATATGTGACTATTTAACAAATAAACTGATTTAACATAAATTTACCTGAAAGAATCTTGAGTTGTGTTGTGTCCAAAATTTTTGATTCCATTCTTGAACCTCCATGCGTAATTCCCTATATCTTTTCTCTAATTTCGTTTCATTAGCCGATTGTTTAAAAATAATTCTTCTTAAGTTGGAAACAGGATCTGGAGGGCCTACCATATCGCTTGAAATTTTCTTCGCATTGGGAGGATGGACCACTTTTGTATCTGATGTACTACTCCGCTTAAGCATAAAGGCCACGTACCGGCCTCTAAATACAGCTTCATGAAAGGGTAACATATTTTTAAATATTTACATTTCTAAAATCCCTATAAAGTGTAAATAAAAGTTATATCATCTGTCTGCACTGCGCTTGTCACTTGTCAGTGTCATACACACAATCTAATATGCTGTAGGGATGGTCGATGATCATCGATGTTCGATGATCATCGATGTCAAAAATGAAAACATCGATCCACCAACATTTGTATCATTCCTTACATGCTATTTAAATACAATGAACCAATAAGAACTAAAATGTACAAATAATTACATGCTAATAACTATCTCAGCACTGGAACTTTATTTCTAGGGTAAAAAAAATTGATAATGATATACAGTAATAAAAATACATAGAGCGGAAAGAAAAGAAAATGTTTATAGAATATTACAAGGAATGGTCTCTTAATGTGCGACGGAGCTTGTTAGGAGGGTCGAAAAATATATCGATTGTTTCGCTAAATTTGTTAACAATTTTACTCATTCTAGCAATTGGAGAATTGGAGCCAAACACTGTTCTACGATGAGGTCTAGTCAACGGTGTAATCTTACGATCAAAACGCGGATAGCGATGGGGAACGCACAAATTAAATTTACTTAAAATTTCAAGACAGTCTATAACACCACTAATAATTTTCGAGGCAAAAATTTAATCAATAATATCCCTGTGGTTTTCTAGAGAAATCATTTTGAAATAGACCAAGTTATTTTCATATGATACACGCTTCTTATAACTTCTAAACTCACGTGTCTTATGAATCATTTTTGGATCCGCTCGATTCTCAGTGAATGTGTAGCATAATGAGGTCTCCAGACTACAGCACAGTATTCTAATATACTTATTACCAAACTGTTAAACATTAGAATTTTAATTTTAGAGCTCCGAAAGATTTTTTATATTTCTTATTACAAAACCCATCATCCTAGATGCACGTTTAGTAATGTTTTCAATGTGAGGCACAAAAGTAAATTTTTTATCGAATACAACCCCTAGGTCTCTAAATTTGGTCTAACTGCTATATATTATTATCTCCAATGTGATGAGATCGATAGTATTACTTTTTCTCGCATATTGCACATAAAAACATTTACTAATGTTTAAGTCCATACGATTTACTTTGCACCATTCTACCAATTGATCCCAATCATTTTATAGCTTCACTGAATCATTCTCTTCCATAATCATCTTGCACATTTTGTAAGTCATCCGCATACAAGTCCGCATAAGAACTTTTCATCAATTCTGGAATTTCATTAACGAACACTCCAAACAGAATCGGACCGAGATGTGACCCTTGGGGCACACCAGAATTAATGTTTTTCAAGCCTGACTGATATCCATTCTCTACTACAAAAAACGCTCGGCCATTTAATACTTATATTTAAAAAAGATTTTTGAAGACCAATTTAATAATGACAAGGACAAGGAAGAACCAAGAAATGACAAACAAAGAAAAAATTATGAAAGACCTGAAGACGAAATTACAGAAGAAGTTCTAGTAACATTGCTATTAAATCAAGATTGACAAGGTTCAAGAAAGAAGATTTCAAGATCCAGAAAACGTCTTAATCAAAATTCCATCAAGAGAAGAGTACCAATTTTATCAAAAATAAAAAAATGAAATAAGAAAGAAACGTACGAGGAAGTCCAGGCCCAACTACATCGGTTAGCTAACAACATCTTCGAGGGCCAGAGCAGCAGAAAGAAGTCAGGGGTACAACGAGCGACCAGCAAAGTTCCGTAGCAGGTACAAGACATACCTATGTCCAAAGCGCCGAATGTAAGTCATATTATATAATTGTGTCGATGTCAAATTAATGTCAAATTATATCATCACTTATATCATGTTATACAGAGTTTTGGGGAAAGAAAAACTTTTAAATTTTTTTTTTTTATAGGATCGGGTGACAAACGAGCACACAGTCCACCTGATGGTAAGTGGCTACTGTGACCCATAGACATCTACATCTATCCTCAATAAAGACTCAAGATGCAGATGCGTTGTCACCCGTGAGGACTAAGATGGAATGCCTCTTTGCCAGTAAAAAGGGTCTCCGGTTCTCTACACTCACCATACGAAACACAGCAGCGTTAAGCTGCTATTTTACGCTGGTTTTCTGTGAGAGCGTGGTCCTTCCCCGGTCGAGCCGACCCATTCGTGCTACAACCATAATATAGCTGCAGCATGGCTCTACCACGTACATTAATTAACAAGTAGGAAAAACAATAGTATTTAAGGAGCTGACTCCATATGCGTCTCTACGGGTGACCATAATGAAAGATTGCATAACTTTATGACATATTTATTGTAGAGGAGCGTGTAATACAGTTGACGGGCAACTAGCTACTGTCTGACTGAATGAAAATCTTAGTACTAAGTAGAGAGGTACAATATTATTAAGTATAGCACATTACCTAATAATTCTTGTTGGGAGAAGAGGCAATATAAACAAAAATCAATTATTAAAATATATTGATAATGTAAATACTTTAAATGTACATAAAATTATCTTGTTTACATTGCCCTACATACAGGTTTGGCCGCAGGAAAATAAAATAAGATATGATTTAAATTTATTAATGAATAACTTTTCATGTAATAATAATTTAAACTTGACATTTAATTGTTATAATTATAATAACATAAATAATTTAATTAAGAAATTTTTGACTAGAGATAGGTATTACCTATCTAAATATATTTTAAGACAGTTAGCAAATGTGCTATCTTATTGTTTATATATTAACTCTGCCAAGGACTTGGCTACACAGACATCTGCTTCTTTTGAGCAGTATAATCACTTAATATGTAATTTGGAATCAGTTCCAAGTAATTTAAATTAGAAAATGAGACAATAGAGGTAACCTCTAGCAGTTGTAATAATTTAAATAATTTAGAATGTAGCTTACAAATCTTTAATTGTATGACTCCATAGAGTGATAATGAAAATTGTTTACACTTGGTGCATCAAAATATAAGGCATGATAGGCAAAGAGCTAAAAATTGAGTTGTTCTTAAATAGCAACAATATTCATATTTTATGTATTACTGAACATTGGTTGAAAGCTTATAACTTAATGTTTAACTTCAGTAACCACCAGATGGTCAGTTCTTTCAATAGAGAAACGGTTTTAAGAGGTGGCTCCTTAATATTAGCTAGTAAATTATTGTCGTATAAAGAACGTAAAGATATTGTGAGCCTCTCTGCTGAGCGAACAGTAGAAATGGCATGTGTTGAGTTTGAGCACCTCATTGTTGTGAGCGCTACAGACCCCCATGTTCTATATACGATACTTTTGAAAAAATTATGGAGGAAGTTTTTGCTAAGCTTAATAAACAGAATAAATTTGTTGTAATATGTGAAGACTTTAATATCAATCTCCTAGAAGCTTCCTCAATCAATATTAAATCTAGATCATTGTTTAAATCATATGGTCTTTTTAATTTATTTTTAGAGCCAACGCGTATTGCTCAATCTAGTGCAACATATATAGATAACATTTTTACAAATGTGAAGCCGTTGCATAAATATATAATTCAAAAATTAAGTTCTGATCACTGTGGACAAGTAGTTTCGTTACCTTATGTTCACAAAAAGCAAGTAGATGAGAAAGTTGTGTTTGTTCCAGTAAATGCACGTCGCTTGGAGAAATTTAGAAGTAACATAGTGAAAAAACTTCCATCACTTTCATACCAAAATTATCCAAAATTTTTGTATGGAACATTATTTAAGCTTATTTGCAATGAATTTAATAATACTTTTACTTCTAATTATTCTCCTTGAATAGTCGGAAGTCATTTAATGAATGTGCGACCGTAGGAGTCCATAAGAGCAGACATAGGTTATATGATCTTTACCATGAAAGGTCATATAATCATAGCGTCGAATTTAGGGAATATGTAAAAAAATATTCAAAAATATTTAAAAGAGTGTGCTCCATAGCCAAGTCTTTGCATTTGAGCAACAAAATTAAGACGGCTTCTAATAAAATTAAAATGACATGGAGTATAATTAATAGCGAAACTGGTAAGATCAACTCTCGCAATTCAAACTACCAGTTCAGTGCTCAGGCTGCCCCGTATGTTCGGGGGGGGGGGGGGGGGGGGGGCAAAATTCCGCTCAACACAATAACTGCTCGGGGCAAACTGAGCAACAAGACCAAGGCGACCCCTGCTACGCTAATTTCTGCAACATCAGGGGATTTCATTCGAACCTAAACGCCGTCCACTACCATCTTGAGACGGCGAAGCCAGCCTTGCTCTTTCTGACCGAGACGCAGGTGTCCTCTCCGGCTGATACTTCGTATCTCTTCTACCCGGGGTACAAATTGGAGCACTCCTTCGTGCCTCGGGCTGGAGTTTGCGTATACGTCAGAGAGGACATCTGTTCTCGACGCCTCGGCAGTCTTGAAGGTTTGGACCTGTCCATCCTTTGGCTACGCGTAGACAGCGACGACCATCCGCGCGTCTACGGGTGCCTCTATAGGTCCCATAGCGGTAATGCCGAAACAGACCGACTCATTGACCACGTCCAAATGGCTACAGATTCCTTGCTACAACATGTCCCATCCGCAGAGATCGTGATCCTTGGCGATTTTAACGCCCACCACGCCGAATGGCTCGGTTCACGTTTAACCGATCATGCGGGGAGATCTGTTTATGACTTTGCCTTGGTATATGGTCTGACACAACTGGTTACATCGCCTACGCGGATTCCAGATGTTGAGGATCATACACCTTCCCTGTTGGACCTTCTGCTGACCTCTCATGCGGACGGATATCAGGTTTCCGTCGATGGCCCCTCTTGGCTCTTCGGACCATTGTCTGATCCGGAGTGTGGTGCCACTCACGCTCCCCTCGCGGTTGCGTTCTGCAGGTTGCCGCCGTGTTTGGCGTTACAGGTCGGCGGATTGGGACGGAATGCGGTCTTTCTTTGCTTCCAACCCATGGGGGCGGGTTTGCTTCTCTCCGGATGATCCCAGCGCTGTTGCTGACTCTGTCACTGATGTGGTGCTACAG